GCAGCCTAATTCCAGCTGTCTAGAACTCTCCCTAGCCCCAGTCCCCAGCACTCCTCTACATGACATCAGTGACCTCGTCTAGCGTGGAACCAGTGTCACCAAACACCAGAGATGGTGTTCACTTGTTTCACTTCCACGCCCACCATCTTGGGGCATAATCGACTTAAAATAAAAGCAACATAAAACTACACACTGAGGTGGGGGAGCTCAAATTTCAATGTCTTCTGACATCTGTTTGAAGTCTCTGAGCATATCCCTGTGTGTCTGTGTCATGGGTACCCTAGGGCTTCCTGGTGACTAACCCAGAAGGATCCTCCGTCTTCCAGCCCTGACTCCCCACTCTCAGCTCACCTCTCAGGTCTTCAGTCACTATCCTGTCCTCCAGCTCCGAAATCTGGGAGGCCATTCCCAGGAGCAGCTGATCCACTTCCTGGGCACTCTTCAGATTGGGGTTCTGGAAGGAAACATTATCAAGATTTGAACCCTGGACTATCCCCGCAGGACAAAAGGCCCTTAGTTACTCTCAGACTTACATCCATATTCTCTCTCTCTCTCTCTCTCTTTGTGTTTCTTTCTTCCCCTTCTCCTCCTTCCCCTTCTCCCTGTCTCCTACTTCCTTTCCTTTCCCCTCTCTGTCTCAGTAGATTGCTTCTGTCTTGAACACCTGGATTCCAGCAGTTGTCCTGCCCCAGCTGGGACAGCATGCACACTACCCTGTGCCCAGGCATTTCCTGACTGTCTCGAACGATACTCCGCAGATGGTTCCCCCTGCCTTTTACTCCCTACTTGGAGCACCACTGCTCAAGAACCAAATCGCTAACTTTTCCAAGCATTTGCGAGCACTGACTTTGACCCTATATCCTGACCCTGATCCCATGCTAACCTCCCGAATCCAGTAGCTGTTGCAGACCCTGAGAGCTGGAGAGCTGCCAGAGCCTTCCTTGGGGAACTTCCGGAAATGACAGCTGGAGTTTCTGAAATGGAGTGCCAAAAGCACAACAGGGGAATTCAGGGTAGGCACTAAGACGGTGAGTTAAGTGAGTGTTTCAGTAGTTAGACAACAGTGAAGGAAGACCCATGAGCTTTCTTGAACATTGCTGGGGGTTTCAGCGTGATCTCTATGGTCTCTGGGCGGTAGGAGGTAAGACCAGCCGCCAGACACAGCCCAGACTCAGCAACGAAAACTCTGCTGTTAGGGCAGCTGGGAGATTTCCCATGGAGCCCGAACCTCCCACCCCAGGGTCCTGTTTCTGCTTCCTTTCTGGATAAAACCGTGGAGGGATGTGCAAGCCCCAAGCCCCGAGCCCCAAGCCCACCTACCTCATCTAACACCTACCTCCAATATCAGGCAGCCCTTACCTCATGTAGACCCCAGGGGGCACCATGGTGGAGAAGAACTGCTCAGAGGCCACCACAAACTCTGGGGAGATGCTGGGGTCCACGAAAGGGTTGTACCCTGAGAGGAGACAGGTGCCTCACCTCACACCCTGGCGTCACACAACCTAACAGTTTTACTTTTATGGATCTTTAGCTTAGGTGTACCCCCAGCCCCCCATCCACAACTCCTTTCCCTTACCCGAATACTCTGGGGGTGTCTTCTGCAGGAAGCTGGGCAGCCATTGGTATAGAGCAATATTCTGAGGGTTAGAGGAGGGAAAGGAAAGGTTAGACTGAGCCTTTAGGGAAGAAAGACTTGGGTGCAGGGATGAGGACCAGGCAAGGCCAGCTGTGGGGGAAGAAGGAGCAGGTAACTAAATTATAATCACAAGCAAAAATCACCATATAAACATTTGCAGGGGCTTTTCATATATTGAATATATTCATATCTACTCATATAATATATATATTCAAAATATGAATATATACATACACACACTTATGGGCATTTAGGGAAGAGGCGTTGTCCAAGAGTCTCCCCGGACCCTGCACACAGGTGGACAAGGGGCAGGCGGCACCACTCACCTGGTAGGTGGCAATGACCCTCTTGCGGGCATGCTGGAACAGCTCCTCATCCCCCCAGTGAGGGTGTTCCTGAGCCAGCCTCCTGGCACACAGGTTGTGGTAGCGAAACCACAGCAGGCCCAGCGCCTGCAGGAAGGGGTCCCTGTTCCCGCGCTGGGCCCCGAAGGCTGCACGCACGGGAGGGGGGGGGACAGGACAGAAGATGGACAACAGCATGAGCCAGGGGAGCCCAGACCCACAGGCAGACCCCGCCCCCAGCAGCCTGGGGCCTCCAGCCGTGCCCCTCCTGCTAGGACCCCGCATTCTCACCATACAGCCCCTGCGGCCCGCCCTGGCCCGTGGCGGGGTCCGGTGCCATCCACATGAGCAGAGAGTTCTGCGAGTCCCGCGGGAAAGCGGGGTCGGGCCCGGAGGCCAGCTGTCCTCCAGAGAAGTTCCTGAGTGCGTCGCTCCAGGAGTGAGAGGAGCCATAGATGGCGCTGCCGTCCAGCCAGCCGGTCACCTGGTTGGTCTGTGGGGACATGCATGCGGGTGAGCAGGGTCAGGGGGGCCAGGCAGGGGCCAGCTGATGGGAGAGAGCCTAACCCTGCCTGGCCCTTCCAGCCAGACCCCAGGCCACCAGCGGGTCCAGCTGCAGACGGCCTCCTCTCCCTCCTCCCTGCCCTCCTGCCTTTGACGTCCTGGCCTCACCAGGTCCCGGGGGTTGCTGGGGCTCTGTCCGGTCTTGGGATCCCAGCGGCTCCTCTGAACGGGCAGCACCACATTCCCGCGCTTGTCAGGGTCGAACACGGGGTCCCCGCGAGGGATGTGGATGTTGAGGAACTCGGCTGGGCAGCCTGGCTTTTCCACGCTCACCAGGTCCGAGAGCACGTGATAGCCTGGGTTAAGAGAGCGAAGAGTTCAGCAAATCCTCCGGTCCTGCTCTGCTTGGGGCCGGAAAGGCCGCTGCGTTATCAGGGCGCAGAGGTCAGAGCACAAGCCTCGATCTGGCGTGCAAAAAGCACGTAGCATCATCCCCTTGTGAACACGCCAACGCCGTGGCGAAAAGCAAAACCTCACCTCCGTGTGGCAATTGTCAGGCTTGAGGGGAGCAGTGACAGGGCACCCAGTTCCTAACAGTTCTGGGGGGACCCAATGACACTTACTGGCTTGGAGTAAGGTGTAAGAGAAAGACAACCTCCCCCCGCCCCCATCACACCCAAGTCTTCAAAGATGACGGCAGAGGCGCTTCTTGGAAAGTTTTTCTTTCCTGTGAGTCGCGGTGGGGCTCCCAGGGTCCTTCCCCTGGGCGCTCAGCGAGCTCCCGGAGGGCCCCCTGCTCTCCACTTTCTACACTCACCAAAGAAGACCCCCAGCACGGTGCGATTGTGGAGCGACGCGAGCCCTGCTCTGCCTTGAGTGACTGCGTCGCTTAGCCGGCGAGGGTTGGGCAGCAGCGGCTCCTCCAGGGCCTGATAAACGCCGTCGGCGTAATTGGCAGGCAAGAGGCGCTGCAGTCGAGAGCCTGGAGGAGGCGGAGAGCTGAGCTCGGTGGAGGCTTCTGGTTCTCCCCCCCCCCCCCCAGAAGCCCCAAGCCGGACCAGCCTCAACTCTCAAGCCCAGGGCTTTCATTGAAAGGATCTCCCCAATCCTACCCCTGCCCCCCACCCCTCCAAGTGGTGTGAAAGCCACCTACCTGGCTCTTCTTCTCCCCTCCTCCCAACCCTTACCTTCCCGAGAGCGGACCCCAGGACTTACCAGCCGCGCCTAGCCTGTGGTACTTGAGGTTGTTGAACCAGCCGTCATAGCGCTGCACTTCCCAGGGCAGCGAGGACTCGCCCTGTCCACCTGTGGGAGAGAGAGAGAGAGAGAGAGAGAGAGAGAGAGAGAGAGAGAGAGAGCCTTCCACTAAGCGCTAAGCTCCCGGAGACCCCTCCATAACCGATGGCCTAGCATCCTTCCCCAGCCCTCCCAACCAACTCCATTTCCAAGGCAGTCGGGACTCTTTCGTCTCACTTCCCCCATCAGAGATGGATCAGTCCTTCAACTGCCTGCGTGTCTCCCTTTCCACGCTTCCACGGGACATCGCTGACCCCTTTCGGCCCTTCCACCTACCTGCTAGACCCAGGGGTCCAGTCAGCAGCGCGGCCAGGAGCGCTAGCGTCCCGGGGCTGGCCGGAAGCATGCTGTCCCTGCAGCTTGGAGACGTGGCTGTGTGTGGACACACGCTCCCCCAGCTGGCACTGGAAGGGGAGCGTGGAGGTACGACTCAGGTCCCATACCTTCACGACGCGCTTTCAGGGACAGCCCCGAGCGGTACTGAGGCTCGTCCCCGCTCCCCCAACCCTGCCCGGTGCTGACTTCAGTTACGTGAACATCCCGGGCAGGGGTCCTTTGGGGCGTCTGATCTCTACCAGGATGGCCTTAGCCTCCCGGGGGCTTCGTTCCCAAATCGACTCCTCGCATCCCAGGTTCCCACCTACTGCTTCTCCGGGGGGGGGAGGGGAGATTGAAAGGGGGGCCTGAGAACCAGGGTCCCGCAGCCAACCTCCTTCTCACCCGCGGTCGACGTGCGTGCCAAAGGGCTAAGAGACCCAGCCTCCGGCGTGAGGCCCCGATCTGGCTCCAAAGTCTTCCGTGTTCTGGGGAGCTTTGGTTCCTTTGCTTCCCGCCCGCAGCTCCTAGTATCCTCCCTCCCCTCTCCTGGATGCGCTTCTGCCCTTCTCTCTGCGTCCCGTCTCCAAGGTGTCAGCTCCGAGCCGGGGCTGCAGGTGTGAAGGAGCGGTCCAGGCGCTCGGCCTCTAATCAAGCAGCCGGGCGGCCGTCATTTGCATGTCCCCGCCCCCTCGTTTGCATGTCCCCGCCGGACGGGACCCTTACACCTCCCGCTGGCGGCCCACGCTCCTATAAAAGAGAGGGTCTGCGTCTCTCCGAGAGCGCGCCCCGGAGCCCCGGAGGCGGGAGAGCGAGCCTCAGGGCGCCCCTCTGCTGCGCGTCTCCGGAGAGCCTCGACGCTCAGACGCTCCCCTGCTCGCTCGCCTCAGCTCCCGCGTGGCAGGATGACTGCGTGGGACGGGGTGCTGCCCTTCTACCCCCAGCCCAGGCGCGCCGCCGGCTTCAGCGTCCCGCTGCTCATTGTCATCCTGGTATTCTTGTCCTTAGTCGTTAGCTTCCTGCTCATCTTGCCGGGGATCCGCGGCCGTTCGGTATGGGATGGAAGCGGGGGGGTGGGGGGGAGGGGGGGGGGGGGGGGGGAGGCTACTCTCAGCTCTCCTTAGATGGGATCTAGAAGCTCGTGTCGTGGGGTCAGGGGACGACATGGAGAGCATTTTTCGGAGACTGGGACAGACAGGACCCAGGAAGAGCAGGAGGACCGGCAGGGGCAAATTTACGAGTCCAGGGCAGTGAGTGGCTCTTCCCAGGGAGAAGGACAGACAGCCTCTGGTCTGGGGCATGCCGGGAGGAGACTCCAGTTGTCTTATTTTGGAGGCTGCTGCAGAAAGTGGGCGCCAGCCCAGTAGAACCCAGGATTGGGTCTAGGCTTCAGGGTGCTACCAGGACACCCCCATCTCCCTCTGAATACCCCAGCACCCCTGTCCTGGGCTTTGGACCTTCTTGCCAAGAGGATGGCCTGCTGGGTTTTCCTTACTGGGTTGAGATAAAGATTTAGAGGCTTCCACAGAGAGTTCAAACGTGCAGCAAGCAGGAGCAATTCCCTCAAACCCTCCCAGCCCCCGGATCCTCAACTGCACACTGCTTCAAGCCTGAGACCTTTAGTCTTTTCGTGTTGATCTTTGTTGGTCTGGGGGAACTGGTAGGTCTAGAAATAGCTGCAGTTCCTCGCCTTTAATTGACTAACCAGGCCCTGGGGCCTCCCTCTTCTGGGAGAGGTGAACCCCTGCCTGCCTGGCACTTCTGAACTCACTGAGCCTCACCAAGCAGTGATTGAATCAGAGGTGGGGGAGAGGCGCCACACAGCTGGGGGTATAAAGGTCGCCAGGCAGGGTAGACCTGGAAACAGGGTAGGGGAAATTTTCGGTCATGGAAGCCCATGGCCAGAAAATATCAGAAACGTCATTGGCTTAGAGGAAATTGAAGGAAAAAGCGTGCATGACATCAGCCTCAAAAGCAGTGGAGTGGGGTCAAGGGGGGGGGGGGGGGTCCTCCAGGATGGGCTGGGCGGTACCCAAGCCTGACCCGGTGTCTGTCTTTTTCTACAGCGCTGGTTCTGGTTGGTGAGAGTTCTTCTTAGCCTGTTCATAGGTGCAGAGATTGTGGGTGAGTGTGTGGAGGGGAGTTGGAGTAGGGAAAGGAGTGGCTCCGAGAAACGGGGTTTCCTGGTTCCACTTTGCACGTTGCTAGCAACCCTCGCTGTTCTTTTGCTGTGGGTTCCCCCCCCCCCCCCCGTTTGTTTTGGGACAGGCTCTCACTCTGCAGCCCAAGCTGACGCTGAGGAGCTGAGGAGTGCTCCCTGCCGCTTTTACTAACGCCCTCTGTTCTGCCTCACCAGGCTCCCAAGCCTTCTTCTTTCCGTCCCATCATCAGGCCCCTAGTCCCATCCGCCCGCCCCCACCCTCACCCACGCGTCACTGTGTGAATCTCCCCGTAGCTGTGCACTTCAGCGGAGACTGGTTCGTGGGGAGAGTGTGGACCAATACATCCTACAAAGCCTTCAGTACGGCCCGGGTTCAAGTCCACGTCGGTCTGCACGTGGGACTGGTGGGCGTTAATATTACTCTCAGAGGTGAGGAGATGACAGGATCAAGAGCTGAGGGCCAAGGGAGGTTAAGCAGCGCTTCTCCACCGGTGGGTCGCGACCCCCACGCCTCTCTCACAGGTGCCGCCTAAGGCCGTCGGAAGACACAGATATTTTATTTACATTCCGATTCCCAACAGTAGCCAAATCCTAGTTATGCAGTAGCAACGGAAATCACTATGTGGTTGGGCGGGGGGCGGAGGGGGGGTCACCATAACCTGTCGAACTGTATCAAAGGGTCGCCACGTTAGGAAGGTCGAGGATGACGTTGAGAAAGGCTCCTTTCACGTCCCTGGGGCTCGGGGAGGCCTGATTCAATCGCGTCCGGGTCTCTCCGCATCACCACCCTAAACGCTTTTTCCCTCCAGCCGCCCCACCCCCTCGTTTCCATCTGGAAGTGGGTAGTTTCCGGGCCCCCCCCCCCCCCGGCCTTGCCCGGGGTCGATGACCCCACGGCTCCCCCCGCAGGAACGCCAGTGCAGCAGCTCAACGAGACCATCGACTACAACGAGCGATTCACCTGGCGCCTGGACGAGGACTACACCGAGGAGTACATGGACGCGCTGGAGAAGGGACTGCCCGACCCGGTGCTGTACCTGGCCGAGAAGTTCACCCCCAGCAGCCCCTGCGGCCTGTACCACCAGTACCACCTGGCGGGCCACTACGCCGGGGCCACGCTGTGGTGAGCCGGCGATGGGGCCCGGGACCCGGGGGGGGGGAGGGGCGCGGCGGGGGGTCCCCCTGCACCCCACCCCACCCGCCGACCCGGCCCGGGCGATCATCCCCGCTCGGGGCGCGCCGCCTCGGTCCCCCGCAGGGTGGCGTTCTGCTTCTGGATCGTCGCCAACGCGCTGCTCTCCACGCCCGCCCCGCTCTACGGGGGCCTGGCCCTGCTCGCCACCGGCGCCTTCACGCTCTTCGGCGTCTTCGCCTTCGCCTCGGTGTCCGCCGTGCCGCTCTGCCGCTTCCGCCTGGGCCCCGAGGCCCTCACGCCTCGCTACGGCGCCTCCTTCTGGGTCACGCTGGCCACCGGTGAGTCCCCCGGGGATGTTCGCTCGCGCGTTCGCTCGGGAGGGGGGGGGGCGGTGTTCGAGCCAGGGCAGGCCGGAGGAGGGGCGAGCGCTGTCTGCCCCTCCCGCCGTGCAGCGGAGACGGGCGGGCGGGGAAGGGTTCGCTAGCTCGACCCGTTTAGCGCGGGAAGTCGAGCCGTGCCGTGTAGCAGTGTGTGCAGGGAATCCCGGGGAGGGGGGCAAGGAGCGCCCGCGCCCCTGGCGCACTCCCCTCCTCCCCGACCCTCTCTCCGCCTCCCGCCGCAGGCATCCTGAGCCTCCTCCTCGGAGGCGCCGTGGTGATTCTCCACCACGCTCGGCCCGGCGCTCTCCGCTCCTTTCTGGATCAGGGCAGCGGCCAGACGAAGGCGAACCCGCCCCTCGTCCTCGACAACCCGCGGCACCAGCAGTGTGGGGGCCCGGACTCGAATATTACCACTGTCCTGTGACGAGAACTAACTCCGCGGGTTGCCAGCTCCCCCGCCCCCGGGGATGCCGCAGAGCTGAAGCCCGCCGGGAGCGCGGCTGAGTCTGGGGGATGGCGCGTCCCCGCAGCAGGGCAAGGGGGCGCCCGGGAGAACGCATTTCTCGGGAGAGTTGTAAATAAACTTTTTGTTCTGTTTCGTTCTTTTTTCAAATTTCTCCTGCCCCTCAGTTTCCTTGGCTTCTCTCGGTCCCTGGAGCTAGGCAACCCCGAGAAAGTTCGCTAGGCTCGGGAGAGCCTTGCAGCGTGCTTTCCGGTGTTGGGAAACCGGAGAAAACACCGAGGGCTCTGGGGGAGGCGCGCCCTCTAGGGAGGCCTCAGAGGAACTGCAGGCACCGTAGTCACTTTCTGCCCGAATCTCTACCAGCCAAACGCAAAGTACTGGGAACGATTAGGATTTCGGCATTGATTCACCAATTCTTTCATGTTTGTGCCTGAGAGCTTAGAGAGCGGTCAACAAGGGATAATATATATATATATATCCTCGGGGTCTGGAGAGATGGTTCAATGGTAGAACAGTGGTTACTCTGTTCTTATTTTTTTAAGATTTATTTTATGAACATGAGTGCTCTGACTGCGTGTACACCTGCTCGCCAGAAAAGGGCATCAGATCCCAGTATAGATGGTTGCCGGGAATTGAACTCAGGACCTCAGGACAGTGCTCTTAAACACCGAGCCATCTCTCCAGCCCACAGTGGCTACTCTTCCAGGGCATTGGGGTTGGAGTTCTTTTACACATTTCGGCGACTAACTTCGGCCTGTAACTCCAGTCAAGGGGATTCTGCAGCGTCCTCTCCTGGTCTCCTCAGACACTGCGTGCAAGTGGTGACCGACATACATGCAGGCAAAATACTCAGACACATTATATATGCCCTGGGATATTTTTAAAGTTTTTCTTTCCCCCAAGTCCTATAACCTTGCATAGCATCTTTGGAAACTGAAGGTCAGAGAGAATGTGGCACAACCATTTAATGTCAGGACTGGAACAAGATGCTTGTTCTCCTGTCGGTGCAGACCCAGAAGTCACACAAGCTGTGAAGGCAGCAGAGAAAGAAAAGAAAGGGGCCCAGATGACCCACCCCCCAAAGTGAGAGATGGGCGCTGAGGGCACTCGATGCCCAGCATGTTTGTCGTTGAGAGGGAGGCCGGCACCTTGAAGAGGTGAAACATGCAAGAAAGTGATCGCTGTGCAGAGATAAGAGCCACCTATGTTGTTCTCACCATAACGGCAGAGTTTATGGGCATGCCCGACACCTCTTCAGAACCCTGGGACTTTTGCTCCTTTATTTATTTTATTTTGCATTAGTAGGTTGTGTCTCCTTATTCCGTTACATCTGCAAGTTGGAGCCGGGCATCTGATACAACCCCAAAACCCACTTCCAGGGCAGCTCTGGTCTTATGAGAGCTTCAGCGAAGTCTGGAACCAGTCCCTGGAGCCAGTCTGAAAACTCAGGTGTGGCCACCAGCGGGGGAGTACTACAGGGTACAGTCTGACTCTTTGAGGTGCTCTTCCTTAAAACATGTCTCAGAGGAAGCCTCTGACATGGGAATGTCCTGGGTCTCGGGACTCTCTGCCATGGACCGGTAGCGGGGGCTCAAGAATCCCCCTTCCTCAGAACCCCACTCCATCACTGGGTCCTCTGAACTCTGGTTGAAGAAAGCCTTCAGTCTGTGAGGTTGCATCCTGTGGGCCACCGCCATCACCAGGCCGAGCAGAATACACAGCAGTCCTGAGGATGGAGGTGACACGTGCCTTGCCTTAGTTCTAGCAAGTCATGCCAAGATCATCTAAGAGCACCAGAAGAACTCTGCAGGAGGCCTCTGGGTCCCCACTTAGAGTAACTGGAATTCAGAGAGCTGACTGAACGTCCTGGGGTCTATATTGCTGACAGGGATCTTCTGTTCTGAACTTTCACGCTCCAAACCGAGGGCGAGGAAGAGAAAGAAGAAGACACTCTAGGAGAAGGACAGATGGGGATGAAGGGAGACATGAAGACAGCATGGTTGGTAGGAGAGTGAGACAGTAAGGCAGGTTGGTTTAGGGCGTTTGGGGTAGTGGGAAGTGAGGACATGCATGAGCAAAAAAGACATGAGAATGTGGTTAGGAGGTGAAGGAGGGGACACGCAAATGGAAGATTTGGAGGACTTGTTTAAAGAGAGTTAGGGGATAATGGATGTGATGGAGAAGGTACAGGGAAGTGAGCACAGATGAGGAGGGGAAATGGCATTGGAGAGAGAAAGCCAGAAGATGAGGGGTTAGGAAGTACAGGGCTCTAAAAGAAGCACAGACCGCTTCACCTCCAGAAGCAGACCCTCCGCCCCACCGACGTGATAACCCCTCACCTCCATCCTGAGCCCTTATCTTTAGGAGAGGGCCTCACCTGTGGCCAACGTGATCCAGAAAGCAGGCCCACGGTGAGTGGACAGCACAGCAGTGCCCAGCCGCAGGGGACAGGGGGCTAGGAGTGATGTGGTCATGGAGAAGAACAACAGTGCCATCAGCTGGAAGAGGCCGGTGGCCAGCAGCATGTGGCCACCATAAACCAGTACAGGCATGGACAGCAACACATTGGCCAGCAGCCAGCAGAGGAAAGCCACCCTAGAGAGAGCCAAGACGCAGGGAGGGCTGGCTCAGGAACCCCTGCCTGCTGGAGAGCACTGGAGGGCCCAGCGAGAGGGTTTCCCAAATTTGTGAAGGGGGCACTCTTGCTCATGGGTTTCCCAAACAAGAACTAAGGGTACTGATGCCAGCTCCTCCCAGTTGGGATTTTCCTTCGAGTAGAAACCAGGTGGCTAGAAAAGTCTGTTTCTGAATTTAGGCCAGTAGGGGCCTGTCTCCTCCCATAGCCATGCTCACCACAGCATGGCTGAGGCGTAGTGTCCCGCCAGGCGGTACTGGTCGTACAGGCCGCATGGGCTTCGAGGGGTGAACTTCTCTGCCAGGTACAGCACGGGGTCTGGAAGGCCCTTCTCCAGCGCCTTTGTGTACTCGTCTGCGTAGCTCTCCCCCAGGCGCCACATGAACGCCTCGTTGTAGTCGATGGTTTCATTCAGCTGCTGCACTGGGGTCCCTGAAGAACAGGGCAGCTGAGCTTACCAGGAAGCCAGGGGCTGGACTGGGCCATTCACCTTGGGTAGGGGTTGAAGACCCCTTGGCTTGGCAGAAGACCAATAGCTGGCAGGGAACACAGTTCTGAATTTCCCTTCCCAACACTCCCTCAGCACCTACACTTCCTCCAAGCTCCAGGACAAGGCACCCTGTAGTTCTGTGCCCACCCCCCCCCCAAACACACACCACATACATCTCACGGACACGGCGGGGCCTTCCCTCCCCCACACGTAAGAACCTCACCTGTGAGCGTGATGTTGACCCCTCCGAGCCCAATCTGCAGCCCCACGTCCACGCTGACCCACGTGGGACTGAACGCTTTGTAGGTCGTGTTGGTGTGGACTCGGCCCACAGACCACTCAGAACTGAAATTCACAGCTGGGGTTGGGGAGCGGCCACTCAGGACGGTCTGCGCGTTACTGGGTTAGTCAGAGGGAGCGCTACAAGGGCCCCATGTCTGAACTTGTCATAATTGTACAATACGCATTCACTAGCCCGTGTCTGGCTTTCACTAAGCCTGCCAACCCACTACTGTGGGATGAAGAAAAGGGTCAGGATCTAAAAAGTTTCCACGTTTGCGCTCTGCTCAGCCCTTCCAGTCCATTTAGGGACAGCCACTGGCTCAGCTGGGTAAGGAAACCATGATGGGCAAACACAGACAACTTCAGTAAAAAGTCAGTTTTCCCTAGCGAACCGAGCAACAATCCCCTTCCCCCAAGTCCTCCTTCCCAGCCCCCACGACCCCCCTCCCCACCTGCATCCATTTTGACCCAAATAAAAATGTTAGGAAGATTTCGCAGATGCATCCTTCAGGGCTTCCCTGGCCCACGCATCCAGGGGCAAGGGTGGGAGTACGGAACTAAAACCATGTGGAGTGAGGGGTGTGGGCTGGATGTGGAAGCCACCCTGAGTCGGTGGCCACCACAAAAAGAGAGGCAGGCCCCCAGACAGAGGCAGCTGCCTGCGCCTGTGGCTGGCCCTTGGCACTCACCTAGGATCACAGCCCCGATGAACAAGCTGGTCACCACCCGAAGCAGCCAGAACAGTCTCTGAGTCAGAGTGGGTGGGTTTAGTCAGCACAGCCCTCCTTCCAAGCTCACCCCTCCTTTTCCTACAATGGGGGAGGGGCAGGGGCGCTACAGCTGAGCCTCCTTGGCCAGTGGCGATCAGAGCTTCTGGCACAGTCGGCTCAGTGAGTGGGGGAACACTGCCTTGGGGATGGTGACGAGGCTTTCTCAGCGCTGGGGTTCCTTCCCTGAGTCCACGTCTAGACAGAGTCTGGACCCCTCACTCTTGAAGCCGAGGTCTCTCTGGGGCTAGAGTCTGCTCGATTGGGGGTTGTTTCTTACCGTCTTCCCACGGATGCCGGGCAGGATGATGATGAAGGTAACCAGGGCAGTCAGGAAGATGGTGATGATAACAGCCAAAGTAGTGTCCATGGAAAAGGTTGGCTTGGGGCCAGTGTAGAAGGGCAGTGTGTGTCCAAAGGCAGCCATTTCGGTGGGGGTGTGCAGGGATTCGGATGCTGCAACGATAGGTGTCCATTGAGAGGCCCCTCTGAGTACCAAGCATGACCATGATGTTGGGGATGCTTCAAAGGATCAAGCTAGTCTGTCATTTTTGAAGCCCGTTCTGTTGGGGCTTTCGGATCTTCACTGCCTTTACAGCTATTCCACTGCCTTTCAATCTGTCCATCATCTTTTGGCTGTGACAGATTCGGGGTCTTGGCAATCATCTCTGCTGCCCCGTGCTCCCTCCCTAACCACTCAGTCCTCAAAATCAGTGCTGTCATTACCCTTGGGCCTTTTTTTTTTGCTTCTTCTGGGAATATCCGAAGCAAAAGAACTCTCTTTTATTTCCCCCAGGCTCTAGCAAAGGCAGGTCACCAGAACATAAAAAGAGCTGTATTTACCATCAAACAAAGCCAATACGGGTAGATGGTACAGATTATGAAAAGGAACAAAGGTCAAATAGCTGCTAAGTGGACAGTTCAACTACATCAACAGGGGGCTGATTCCTAGACCCAACACTGCCCGGCCTGCTTAGGCACCCTGGCTCCCACGACAGGTGTTTCCAGACGTCCTACTGTTCCAGGCACTGTCCACATAGGCCCTTTTCTTCCACTCACATCCCCACCGGGCATTCCAACTCAAACACCGGCTTTGAACTCCTCTGCCTGTCGCCTGATTGATCTAAGCGCTTGTTTGACTCTTGTCTGCTCCTTCAGACCCAGGATGTTAGGACAATGATACGTGGCCATTTCATCAGTTTTTGGACAGAGTTAATTGCAAGACACACTACTGTTTCATAGATCATGGAGGAAGAAAGTACTGCCGATTAAACAGTAATAGCCGTCGTGGTAAAATGCAGTAAACCTTCAGAGATATCAAAATCGGGGGTGAAACCCTAGAATCACTGTCCCAGTTCTGTTCCTTCTTCTAAGTGTGATCTGTACTGTGGTCTCGGATTACCCAGGAGAACCTCTGATTTAATCTGAGCAGGGGGGAGTCTTGTTAAGTGGGAAAGTAAAACAGCCCCATAGGGTTTGAATTCTGACTCTGTCTTTTGCAACGTTACCTCTATCTTGTTTCACTGGAAAACAGAAATAATGTCTACTTCAGAGGGTCATTATGAGGCTGGAATGAGACTGATCATGGAAAATACAAAGAATCCGGTTGGAAACAATATGGCATTGGGCAAAGAGACAGGGAGACATACAGCTCAGCTTTTAATCTTGTCTTTTTGGGCAAGTCATATGACCACAGCCTCGGTTTTTAATGTGAAAGTTTGGTTTTCTTCTTAAGTGTTCAACTCTTCCATCCCAGAGAAATACCCATCTGTTCTTCGGCTCCACGGATCCTCCGGGACTCTCCCCACCACTGCCTTCTCCACAGCCGCCTAACCGTCAGTCACCCTCACGGCCTCACAGCCTGTCATTCTCTGCTGGACCCCTTTCCCAAGGGTAGATTCAGGTTTCTCCCAGCCAAGATCACAAAAGAAAGAAGCCTTCTTGACCTCCACACTCTCACTGTCCAGTCCCACTCTTTTCTTTTCACAGCCAGGGTTTTTACAGAATAATCTGTGTTGGTGGTTTCCATATCCTTATTGATTTCTTGTCTCCTTGACCCATTGTAGCCTAACTTTTCTGAATCCTTATCTTTAGCATCACCTCACTACATAACCTAAAGGGAAAACCTCACTTAAAAAAAAACAACAACAAACTTTTAAACTTTGGTGTTTGACCCTTCAGAGCACGTATCTTCTATCTTGAAACTTACTTTGGTTCCACAACACCATGTTTTCCTGGGTCTCCTACCATAGGCCACCCAGTGTAGGCTCCTCCTTCCTCCTCTCTACCAAACATTTAAGCTGCTCAAGATTCTATCTTGACTCTCTTTCGTTAGTGTCACTGAAGATTTCTCTGGCTAGCCAGTCATGATGGTGCACCCTGTAATCCCATCACTGAAAAGGTTGAAGCAAGAGGACTGAGAGTTCCAGGCTAGCCCGAGCGATGTGATAAGACCCTCTTTCAAAAAACAAAACAAAAACTTAGGTAATATACTAAGGCATATCAGTACATGAGATAATATTTAGGTAATCTCCTCTGTTACCATGGCTTATAGTTCTCAGATGTCTCCCTGAGCTCCAAACTCAAAAGAACCTCATGAATCTTTCTACTTGGAGGTAGAAAGGCTCTACATTCTAACAGGCTCCAAATGGAATTCTCTGCTACTCTATCTTCATTCTATTTTTTTTTCTTTTTAGCCTCACCACTACCCATTAATCAAAGATGCCAGAACCAAAACCATCTTACATTCCCCTTCTGTATTTCTTGAAGTTATTTATTGGTAGCCTTCTCTACTGCCTCTGCCCATTTTAGTCTCATTCTCTCTTCTTGCCTGGTGCAAGAGTAGTTTTTCTAATTAATAAATACAGTCATTTCACTTATCTCCCCTGGATAAAATCTGATTTCCTTACTCTCACATAGAAAGTGTTCTGTGAGCTGTGTCTCTTCTTCCCCTCTCCGTGACTAACATGCTTCTTCAAGCCTTCTGCCTTTGTATGTGCTATTTCCTCTCTCTGGACTCTTCTGCCCTTGGCAAATGCCTTTTCTCACTCCCAGTCTCAGCTAATTTTACCTTCTTTGTGAAGTTCCCTCTAATGCCATTAGGCCAGTGGGAAGGTTTCCCTTCTACCATTTTCACCATGCTTTGGGCATATCTCCACAATCACAATAATTACTGTACTTCATCTCTTTGAACATTTGACAGAGTCTTTTAGACAGAGTCTCCTTGAGGGCAGAGATTTAATTTTCCCATCTTTGCATCATCTGCATGTAGCATATTCTAATCAAACTCTGGATCGAATTAATGAATATAAATGAGTTCTTTCTATGGGTATCTCTTTCTGAGTCTTCACACAAGAGGGAGCTATGGCCCCTCACTACATACACATTCACATGAGCCAATACAAGGCTAAAAGCTTAAAAAAAAAAAAGTCTGGAAAACCTTTTCCAATAGCTTGTATTTAGCTGAACAGAAGTATGCTTACTTCTTAAGCCTGTCTGAAAATGTGTAGCTAAAGGTCTGTTATTTTGAGGGGCTGGAAAGCTGTCTCAGAGGTTAGCTCAGAGCACTGGCTGCTCTTGCAGAGGACCTGGGTTCAATTCCGACAAGTGGCTCACAACTGCCAGTAACTACAGTTCCAAGGGGATCTAAAGCCCTCTTCTGACCTCTGCTGGCACCAGTCATGTACTTGGTACACTGACATATATGCCTGCAGAGCACTCACACGTAATTTTTTTTTTAATTAAAAAGAAACTGGTTTTTAAAATAAAATAATTAATAGCAACATTTTATTTTTAAATGTTTATATTGACTTGTGCATTTGTCTGCTCATGTGTGTGTGCACGTGGGGAGGCATGCGTGTGTGCATGCGTGTGTGCATGTGTGTGCGTGTGTGAGTGAGTGTGTGTGTGTGTGTGTTCTTCTTATGGTATGCATGTGGACAAAGAGGACATCTTTGTGGAGCTGGTTCTCTCCTCCCATCTTTATGCGGGTTCTGAGGCTTGAACTCAGGTTGTCAGGCGTGGGCAGCAAGTTCCTCTTCCACATGTGCTGTCCTCCTGGCCTAGTGACATTTATTATAAAGCGTAAGCTTTCTGTTATAGTGCATTTTTATTTATGACACCAAGACTGAAGCCATTATATTTCTAAGAACGTCCAGCTAGGAAGAAAGGCTGTATACAATGTAGAACGCCTTAGGTCTTAGTTAAGACAGCCCAGCACTTGGGAGGCAAAGGCAGGCCTTTGAGTTGGAGGCTAGCATGATCTCCCCAGTGAGTTACAGGCAATGCAAGGTTATATCATCACCATCATCATCATTATCATCACACATAACACACACATGCACACACCAAATCAATGTGAAAAAATGAAAGAAGAACCCATATCATATGTTTGAATTCCAGCAACAGGTATTTGCAGTGTAAGCAGATATTACCTAACTTAGAGCATCTCGGTAGGGACCACAGATTCCTAGTATTCCTGTGCCTATTTTAATGAGAGGTTATAAAAAGTTTTGTGAGCATGTCTCATCTCTGTTAACATGATGCGTCAAAAAAAACCAACAAAAGGCCTTTCTGTATCTCGAGTACATAGAGGAGGACATTGTTAGCTTATTTCCAGTTCTCCAAAACAGGTATTAAAGATGACTAGAGCAAATGATAGTTGGTCAATACAATTTGTCTTTCTTGGTCTCCTCCATTCAGTTCAATTCCACAACTTAGATATTCCTTACCCTGCCCTGCCTGATGGAGCAGAGCTGAATTTTCATGACTGATCCTAATTTGGTTTCATTATGATGCTAGCAGGGCTTCAGCATGAAGGAGTGGACTGAAATAAAAGGGCTGCGGGAACACTGCTTCTCCAACAAAGCCTGTGTTTCTCCTGGGACCATCTTCCTCTCTCAGGCTTGACAAGTGGATTCTGACGGTAGACTTGGCTCTAATCCAGCAAAATCTCACATCGATATTAACGTTACTTCCTGGTCCCTTAGCTATACCAGCGCCATGACTGGTGTATATAACCATTTTATACTCATGACTGTAGGCAGGCACAAGGCAGCTGAACACAGGCCTACAAACTTAAAGACAGAGGAAGAAGGGAGCGCCCCGACTTTGTCACGCTCAGTAACACAGACACCTATTAGCTTTTCGTGGGGACCCCTGCGGCAAGCTGGGGCTTTCTCATTGAGAAGGGGCCAATTCTTCCACTTCGGGGTTCTCTTTTCTTACTTGGCCTGGAGGGCAGCCTTTAAAGCCTAAAGGCTTTCCCCTGTGATTGGTAGTATTTCAGATTCAGTTACCTAGTCCTTACCTACAAGACGGAAAGGATTTTCAGGGTTTATCTGACTAGCGTCAACAGTCTTGAGGAAAACCCTGCCGAGAACAAGCTCCGGTTCCATCACTCAAAGTCATGTGTTTGGTGGGTGATCTGGAACCTCAAAGCTTGACACGATTTTCTTCCTAAGGCCTTCCTCTGCCCTCACACCCACCTATAGACTTCGCAGAGTAAAGACAGCTAGCTCCCCATAAAGGCAGCTTAGGTGACATGGCTAACACTGTCCAGCACTCTGATGGGCAGTGCCTGGCTACCAGAATGTGACAGTTTATTTCTCTGACTGAAGTAAAAGCCCATTAAAAGTTTACAGCTCTGTGTGGCTGAAGAGAGTCCTTTTCAGGAACACCTAACCTAGTCCTCCTTCCTAAGGAAGGTAGGAATGTGTGTGTGTGTGTGTGTGTGTGTGTGTGTGTGTGTGTGTGGTGGGGGGCAGTGGAGGAGGGGGAGGGGGAGAGAGAGAGGTGGGGGGTTTCCCAGTGATGGGTGATAATGGGCTCAGGGATGGGGAACCCAGCCATCCAACCTACTAAGACTTCAGTTAAGAGAAATACAGATTCAGTGTAGAAAAATCTTGTGACTTTTATAGTCCTAAGGACCCCACCTTGGTGTTGGAGAGGTGGCTCAGAGGTTAAGAACACGGGCTGTTCTTCCTAAAGGTCCTGAGTTCAATTTCCACCAACCACACGGTGGCTCTAAACCATCTACAGTGAAATAACCCTCTATAGTGAGATCTGGTGCCCTCTTCTGGTGTGCAGGCAGAATGCCGTATACATAATAAATAAATATATCTTACATATAAAAAAAAAAAAGAACTCCACCTTGTGTTAATTTGTCAGACTTTCTCCTTCACAAACCCCCACCTGATCTGAATCGGTCCGCTGTAGAGTCAAGAAATGCGCCCCTAGGGGCCGGTACCGGAGCGGCACTTCGAGGTCTGATCGCGTCCGAACGGCGTAGTCTGTAGCAGGCACCGATGGCTCCCCACCTTCCTCTCTCCCAGGTACTGTGTGCGAGGCACCTGACGCCGCTCGTCTCTTCCTCCGGGAACTCACGACGCTCCCGGTCGTGGGGACAGGACGGACAACCGGGTTCGGGTGTTGACGTTCTGTCACCAAACACCACGAACGTGGTCAGGCCCGACTCCCCATTCTTCCAACTCAATTGCCAGCCCGGTTGTGACCCCACAAACCCGGCCCGGTGTCTTCCCCGCTTTCCATTCCGAGTCGTTTTCCGCCTTCCCGGCCCTGGCGCGCTAGGACCGTGCTCTAGCTCCTGTGCTCTCTGCATCCACCGGTGAAACCCTCCATTGACCCTACCCACGCCTGCATCCCGGGCAGGGAGGGCGGCGAGACTTGGAAGGTCCCACTAGAGGCCCTGGTTACCCACACCTACAGGTTTGGGGAACAGATGGATCCCTTGCTTTGGGGCCAGGGCTGATCTGTGGGTGGGTGTTGGATTTAGAGCCCCGACCCCGTGTGGCGAGGATTTGGGGTCAGCTTTCCTGCCCCGCACCCCCTCTCCAACTCGCCCTCCCCACCTCCCAGACGGCCACACCGCCCCAACCCTCTGCCCCCGCAGCCCTGCATCCTCCACGGCCTCACCTTTCGCGCTCCGGTCCCCTGCGAGCGTCCCGGCGGCGACGGGTCCCCGCGCCGGCCTCTATCCCGCCCTTCGGTGCCCGCCCCGCCCTAGAGCTGGGACGCGCTGTCGGCTCCTCACCCCTGAGCCCCGCCCGCCCCGACTCAGAGCTGGAGAGGCAGCCAGAACCGAGCCGGCCACAGCGAACCTGGAGCCAGGCCGGAACCAATCCGCAGGCCCAGGCTGGGGCGGCCGGGGACTAAGGTCAGATCCCAGAGCGTCTGTCCCGGAGGGAGGGGGCTCTGGGGGCGGGGGCGGCGGGGGAAAAGGGCACCGGTGGGCCTCCTGTTCTGCGGAACAGAAACCAGCCTCCTGTAGCTCCAATCTTTCCCGGGGGCTGAAAGGGAACCTGCTAAAGCATGGGCTCAGCACACGAGGTTTTGAAAATCCAGGGTCGTCTGGTCCTTAGAATGTTGAGTGGCCTAGTTTGTTCGGGCCTAGAGGGCTTCTTGGCACCATCCCATCATGCCAAAGAGAGACTTTGTTGGTCTTCAGTATACAGGCGTTACTCTCTGCTCTTTAGGTTGGAATCTCTGTGGCCTTAACTCATCTTCCTCTCATTCCCACCTCGGGGGGCCAACAAAATCACTGTTCTAAGACTTTTCATCTGGAAAAGCGGCCGTGTGGGGCAAGGACCAGGCAGGCTTGTACGCTCCCTAATTTTGCCACTGCCCGGGGCTTCATTGCCCAGGAGTCGTGCCTTCATTTCCAGATTGCTTGGGAAGCTACCACACCCAAATGTCTGTGTAAACTGTTAAGGGCTACCTACCCAAAGAGAGGTTATTTGCATGGCCACTCTCCTTTCTAGCTGGTCACCACAGTCTGGCCTGTAGGCCCACGGGCTTTTAGAGATGGATGTATCTACGCTTGGGGTCAGGGGGTGAAACTGAATTAGGGAAGCTCAGCCATGGCCCACCACTCCACCGTAGCCAATGCAACAGCCTCAACTGCTCAGAGACCAGCTCGTCAAACATTCATTCCCTGGAGAACCTCTAGAGAGATGGAATAGTGAGCTGGGGGCTGTGGCAGGGTCTAGGTTTTCCCCCTTGTTTAGTAGGAGGTGGAGAGGGGGTGAGGTCAGTTGCTGGGCTCTCTCCTTTGACCAGCTAGCCTTTCCAGAGCCCTGGCTGAAGCGAAGGCTTTCCTTGAGCACGTGGCTTTCACCTCCAGTCTTCAGGTTGCCTCTAGAACATCTTCAGTGACATTTTGCTGGGGGAGTCCTGGCTTGAGTTTCCTGCTGCCTCGGTTTCCCTGTTGTCCTGTATGGTTTGTTGATCTGTGGAAGGAAAGCAGGACAGACATGTAAGCCAGCCGCCTCTTGAGTCTTCTCACAGGGGTCATGTTTCAGCCTCTGTCAAGTTTGCGTTCCATCCGGCAGTCTGTTGGGTAGGCTTCAGCCTGATCCTCACACCAGACTGCAGCCATCACGCCGGGGAGTGAACAGTTCAGGCACGTCTGCCATCAAGGCTAGAGGAGGGCGGCGAGGGTTGGACCAGATAAGGGGTTCGCCCCAGATCCCGCAGAGGATCCAGCAGCAGACCTGAGACTTCAGCGGGGTCTCTCTGCTCCCTCTTCCCGAGCCAGGCTCTGGCTGTGGTGCCGACTGTGTGGGCAGCTGGGCCAAAGCAAGGGTGGTCAAATACTCAGAAACTAGAGTTCACAAGGGCAAGGGCAGCTGTGTTTTGTTCTTCACTTACTCTCCAGAGCCTAGGTCAGTTCTGTACAAAGTGTGTGCTCATCAGTTATTTGATGAACGAATGAGACACCTTCGGAGAGAAAGGGTGGCTCTTGCTTTTTTGCTACCTAAGCAGTGTGGGCCAGCTTCTAAGCCTTGATTCATAGGGCTCCTACAAAGACCTTATCCTTATTCTCTTAAGTAGCTGGGGCTCATTCTTCCATCCTCTGTCTTTCTAGGTCTCTGTTTTGAAGTATTCCAACATACTCATCATGGGCTTTCACCTAGCTCCGGCCTGGATCCTCCTGGTTGGGACATTGGCCTCTTTGGGTGAGTACAGGTTGGAGGAGAAGCTTGCATGGGACCAGAGGTACCAATATCCTCTGGGCTTCTCTAAAGATGTGCCATATCATTTCTGTATCCTCCAAAAGATATAATACCCTGTATTTGTCAAATGCTTGTTTCTAGCTGTTGAATACATGGTTAGGTAATAGAATGAAAATGACTTCCTATAGGGCTCTTTCTCTCCCCTCAGTCCGCTATTCTTTTTCATCAGGTAAGTTCTCCTGGCTTGAAATGTGAAAGATTGACTAGACACATAAGACAAGAAAGCATCTTGGGGTAAAAGTGGACACAAAGCTAAAAAGGACTCGCCAGTGTTTTAAAAATAAAATGGTCTTGGGCTGGAGATATAATTCAGGGTAGTATTTATGAGGCCCTGGGTTTCATCCCCAGTGCTGAAAAAAAGAAAAAACAAAACCCAAAATAAGATAATAACATCAGAACATAATATGGCCCATAGAAATTCCAGCTTTGGAAGTCCGAGAGCTTTAGAATCAGGGGCTGTTCCCTGTAGTGCTGGGCTCTGAAGAGGACAGTGGATTCATGACACTGCAAGTTAGCCTTAAAAAACGGTCCCGGTGTGGTGGCACCTGCCTGCCATGCCAGCACTTTGGAGGTAGAGGCAAGAGGATAAACAATTTAAGGTCATCCTGGGCTACTTGAGGCAAGCAAGAGCAAATCTTGAAGTCTTTTGCGTCATGGGAGAAGATAAATAAAATGAGCCCCCTAGCCATCAAAGGCAAGATATCAACATGGGCCGTACAGTTCTGCCTGTTCACATTTGAGTTCTTTCCAGAACTCTCCTTGCCTGGGGCTTCACTTTCTCTCCAGGTCTGTGACTCTTATCCCTAAGAAACACTCTCTCCCAAAGGCCCCTTCCTTGGCCTACCACCAGTTCATCTTATTTTAGAGGTCCTGTATGTGTGTCTGTCCTACTGTCCTAGGTCCTTAGCCAGGTTCAGATATCAGAGTTCAAGTTGTTTTCCTTCCTGGTGAGTGTGTCTGTATGCGCAAGTGTGCAAGTGAGCACAGCACCCATAGCTTGAAAACCATCTTTGGTCTAAGGTCAATCAGAAGAATGGGGTTTCCTCTTGCCGTTAGAGGCCTTTCTTCTGTTCTCCCAGGTGAACAGAGAAGAAGTCTTCTAGTTGTTGTTGTTGTTGTTGTTTTGGGGGGGGTGTCTGGCTAGTCACCTGATCTACTGACCAAGAAGATTCTAGACCCTGTCTTCTTGTCCTGCTTCCTCAGCTCCTCCCTCGACAGCTGAGTGTTCCTTCCTAGACTGTGGGTTTTTACAGTAGCATCATAAACAGGACTTAGGGTTGGAGAGGAGGCTCAGCAGTCAAGAGCACTGGCTGTCCAGAGGATCTGGGTTCAAGTCCCGCTATTGACATTGCAGCTCACAACTATCCATAAGTCAGTCCCAATGGATCAGCCGCCTTCTTCTGGCCCCGGTGGACATCAGGCACTCACATGGCACACAGAAATACATTCGGGCAAAACATCAGTGCACATAAAATAAGTAAAGCTTAAAAAGAACAGGAATGAAATGAGGGACAAGATGTTCCAAAGGAGGAAGGAACAAGGCCATTCACAGGATCGGTCCTTGGGCTCACCCAAGAAACTGGGAAAAGGACCAGAGTAGCAGTAACACACCCCTGCCTTGGGGCTCTGAGCTCAGTGGGAAAGAGCCAAGCCCCTCTTCACATTTCCCTGGCCAACGATGGTCACAGAATGACTTGTCCTTCCCAGGTACAGGGTGTGGCTGGCTCTCATTCGGTATGCTATCTGAGGGCTGGGGATGATTTTCATCTTGGTGTGTCTCCCAAGGACTTGAGGTGTGAGGGGGGTCCGGGCTTGTGCGTCCACTTCTGGATTGCCCACCCCGTCCCTCTTCTCTTAGGTCAGCAGGCGCTGCAGGCCGATGCACACTTTGCACACTCTCGTAGTCTCGTCTTCCTCACTGAGTAGGCTTGAGTTCAGAAAACACGTAGCCCTTTTCTCTCCTTCTGAGCCATGCTTCCTCCTCCTGCTGCCCTGTCAGGTGTCAGAATCACAGGACTTGTTCCCTCGTGGCCTGCTTGGTCTCTCTTGCATGCCTCTTTCCCTTTATTTCCACACAGGAGCCCAGAACTCCATTTCTTGGGAGGTCCAGCGATTTGATGGATGGTATAACAACCTCATGGAGCACCGATGGGGCAGCAAAGGTAGGTGAGGGCAAAGTTAGCTCGAGGGCCAGGGTGGTGCCCGCCAGTGGAGAGTCAGGGGTGGCAGGTATCGGGAAAGGCTATCTCATGTGTCAGCAAAAGCTGCCGGTGTCTAACATTTTAGGATTTGAGGTATGGAGGGAAGCCAGAGAGAAGAGGTCAAGAATGCTCCCTGGAGTAGAGCGATTGCTAAGTGCTTAAGAGTACTTGCCGCTCTTACAGAAGAC